ACCAATAGTTTATAAATTCAGAAAGAAGAAGACGCCTTTCTTTCAAGTTAAAATATGTTATCTATGTAAATCAAAGGCAGCACTTTTATTTTTAGCAGTTCGGCTGTATCAAGCGCCACATCCAAAAGTCGTAATACCGACAAATGTGTGTCAAGAAATGTTTACAACAATTTTGTAGCTTTTAATAAAAACAAAATCTAGATATACAAAAAATTGCAAAAGTAAAAAAAAAATGAATACAATTTAGTAGGTTTTTTTATCAAAATATTTACATAAAACGAAGACTGGAAATTTTACAAACATTATAGGAAATGGTTGGGTGGTAAAATCCCGTCCTCAAAAAAATATTATTTCAATTTGTTTAATGTTTGGGGAATATTTTCATTCCAGTGTCTTGGCAGACAATACCAAAAAAATCGTGCGTTTATTTTTAGAGTTTAATAAATTTTGTTATTTTTTTGTAATAAAATTTTCTCCTTATTCTAAGTTTTTGTGCCGGCTGCGTCAGTCAATTTTGTGCTCTAACACTGCCATATTTTAAGGACGGGATTTAAATTTCCGACATTTTTTCCATATCTTTCAACAAATTGTTCGTATTCCAAGTTTATTCATTAAAAAAAAAAATTAAACAGGTATAATTTACACCCTAATTAACTTAAATATATTAATTATAAAACGGTCATTTTCCCCTTAAAATAGTAATTGATTTATATAAACGGGATTCTTACGGATATCTATCTTAAAATGCCACTGCAAAACTAGTCATGTTTTCAATTGCTAGGTCTGCTGCCAGGAAAATTGGTTCACTGTGTCGTGCTAGGCAATTTTTTTCGCCAGAATCTATTTTACATATTTATAAGTCTACCATTCATCCATGTATTGAATATCACTGCCACATATGGTTTCATGCTTCTGTTATATATTTAGAGATTCTAGATGACATACAAAGAAGAATCTGCAATGTTATTGGTCCTGACCTGACATCTCAGATTCAGTCATTTTCCCATCGATTTAACGTAGCTTTGCCTTTTCTATAAATACTTTCATGTTAAATGTCCAGATAGACTTTCCTCTTTTAGAGATTTGTAGTTTTTTATTGCCCTCCTTCCACGAACAAATATGTACATACGGGGACTAGTTAGGACTTCATAGAGACTTTGAGGTATTATGGTAAGAATGGTAAGTATTGTGTTGTTTTGGTGTAAGGAATACTGTGGTATGTAGCTAAGTTTAATTATAAGACAAAATAAGCCCAACTTTTCCCATCCCCCCTTTTGGCCTTGCGCCACATTTTAGTATTTTACGAATAAATATTATTTTCCTCTTTTTTTTAGCTTTTATATGTCTGTTATTATGTACGGTAATGTCCCAAAGAAATTTTGACTGGTTTAAGGTGACCTTGCGACATTTGGCGCGCTGAAATGCTCAGATATATTTTAATGAATATACTGCCCAATCTTATCCTGTTAATCTTTGTATTCCCCCGATTAAATTGTTTAAATTGTTGTTTTTATTCACTTCCCAGCCCGTAAACAAAAATGTACATATGGAGACTAGTACTTTATTCATGGAGACTTTGAGGTATTCTGGTGAATGTAGGAAAAAGGTTTTGTTTTAATGTAAAGAAAACTGTGTTATGTTTGGGTCAGTACTTCTTTTTCTTTTTATGTGCCGTGTCCTTTCAGGACGTAAGTGATCATGGCTCTCCACTTCTCCCTATCCCTTGTAGCTCTCAATAAGTCTCGTCCCTCTGCCACTTTCCCCAGACCACGATCTGTCATCCACTTGATTAAGCCCGTCAGGTTTGTCATGCATTGCTTTCCCTTGTTTCTCTTTCCCTCTATTCGACCTGTGAGTATCAGATTCTCCAAGCCCTCCTTTCTCCCAAATGACAGCGTATTTCCAACTGGGGCTGATTCCCGACCGTTCACCTTGCCTTTTTTTTTCTAACCATAATTCTGCGAGATCGAAACAAGAGAAAGAACAGAAAAGACATAAGAACATCAGCCTTCTCTATCCTCCTCTTGGCCTTGTGCCATATTTCTGTATTTTACAGGATAAATATCATTTTCCTCTTTGGTACCTAGACTTTACGAATTTAAGCGCACTGCTAGATTGGCTACAAGGTCTCATCATTTAAGCTGAAATGGATAAATGTAATCCTAAGCTCTACGTTTAAAGTTCCGCCCTTCTCGCTTGTGGAACTCTCTTCCGGCTTCTAGTCAACTTTGATCATCAAATACATCTTTACATGCAATGTTAATCTTTATCTTTTATCTTCTTAATTCCACTTAGTTTTATTGTTATCTCTTCTTAATAATGATTTTCTTTTTCTCATATTTTTCCCACTCATTTCCCTGTTGCCTCCCAGAGACTTTATTGTATTGTGTGGGCTGAAATGAGTAAAAAAGAAAAAGAGTGACCAATGGTCAGTTTGCGATACTAATAAGAAATATAGGAAAGTCTGGACAGCTATTGTTGATGGTCAAATTAGAAAAAAAAAATGAGTGTGAATATGGCTGATGCTAACCTTGGGCTAACGTCTTACGCTGACATGTAATGCAAAGATTATATTGAATCAATTTCTAAGCCTGCTGCTAAGAAAGTTGGTTCATTGTGCCGTGCTAGACAATTTTCCTTGCTATTTATAAGTCTACCATTCAGCCATGGATGGCATATTACTGTCACATCTGGTCTGGAGCTGCTACTACATATGGATACATTTTTGGTGAAAACTAAAGAAGACTATGCTATGTTATTGGTCCTGATCTGGCATCTCCGTTTCAGTCACTTTCCCACCGCCTTAACGTAGCTTCCCTGATATAAATATTGATATTTTCATGGTTATTTGTTCTGATGAGGTTTCCCCTTTGTTACCTAGATGTTATGAATTTAAGCGCAGTACTAGATTGACGGCAAGGTCTCATCATTTTGAAATGGATAAATGTAACCATAAGCTCTACGCTTAGAGTTCACCCGCCCTTCTCGCATGTGGAACTCTCTTTCGGTTTCTTGCTTTCCAGTCCACTTTGATCTTTTAAAAAATTAAATCAATAATTCCTTGCGTCTTAGTGGCTTTGTTGCCTTGCTTGGAATGAAATGATTTTAAAAAATGTTGAACATTACTTACCTGACTAATGGTGTTTAAAATGGCATGAATTTTAAAATTTCTGTGTTTTTTTTTTCTTTTTAATCTGGGTTGATGATTTCCAATCGTCTCTTTCAGACCTTGACAGAGTTCGGAAGTATTTAAGCGGTTCTATCCTACGCCCTCTTTCCCACTGATAAAAAGTTGCAAGTTTATCGCAACTCTATCGCTGTTTCCATGGAAAACCTTTCACTGGTAAGGACGAAGATCCATTCCGAGAGCTACTTCCCAAGAACCGCTATTTTGTAAAACAGACTCCCGAGAGGATGCTTCCCCGATCGCTACGATTTCAGTCTCTTCAACTGCTATCTTTCCTACATATACTCATAATCTGCACTTCAAACCATTCCTTTAACGAGCTTACAACAACATCCTGAACGACCACCGAAGTTAAGCAACGTCGAACCTGGTCAGTATTTAGATGGGTAACCGCTTGCGAATAAGACGTGCTGTAAGCGTGGATGTGCGGGTGATGTGATGGATAATGGCTGGAATGTTAATCGGAGAGCCGAGTTCCAATTCCCGTTGGGTTCGCTAATTTCACTTACGCGCTAATATCCTTCGGAAAATTATGAACCAACTTATTCTCCCCCACCAGCTATGGGTCAATTAGTGTAAACTTGTCTCACTAAACCATTATTATCTCAACAAAAAATTCTTACGACCTAAACACATTTTCTGGCTTTAAATAACCTGCAAAGGGTTGATAAACCGTAGAAAACTAATTAATCTTTCTCTTGCGTACATGTAAGACCCCCATTAAGGAAAACTCTACCTTGATTAACTCTTGGGCCTTGTACATTGTGAAAACTACGCTACTTTATGAACCAGACTCCCGGGAGGATGCTTCCTGATCACAAAAATCTTTAATTCTAAATTGACTGTTATCTATCCTGTTCGTGCATCATAATCTACATTTAATTTTTCCTCTTACGTCCATGCAACAACTTCATTTAGTAACCCTCTACCTTGAGTGGCTCTTTGGCCTTGTACTAAGTGAACATTTAGGGAGAAAAAATCTCTGACTGATAACTACGGGAAAAAGGCATGGCTAAAAGAAATCCTTTTTTTTATTTAGAGGCAAAATAGTCAGCGACAACAAATTGCTATTTATAACAGATGGAAAGTATTCTATTTATTGCATGAAAAAAAAACATTCCTAGCAACATTCGTCTATGGAATTGTTTTGGTAAGCCAGGAAAAAAAAACACCAACTTAGAAAGATTACTGTGTTCGGTAGAGTTTTAAACATGGTAATCGCTAAAGAAAGATGTGCGGCTAGCGTAAGGGTTATCGGCAGAGGAAGTGGAATCTACGATGCGAGTTCTGATTGCAGGCGAATCTGTTCGCTTCCGCATTAATGCCCTTAGGAAAGGCAAAACGTCAGCTCTTCTACCCGAGATACATAGCAAATCAGACAGGGCTCGCTAGTTTTGGGTGGCAACTAGTCTGGAAGAAGAATTATTTTGAATACAAAACCGTTGGGAAAGCGGTGGGAAGCCAAGAAGACATTGCAATTCACAGATAATAAACGAAAAGGAATCTGTAAGGAGCCATGATCCTCGACATGCCAGTTATATATATATATTAAAAAAAAACTCTACAAGAGGTTGTAAACATTAAAAGATTTATTCGTTATTTTAGCTTTGCGCATATTTTATTTTCTAGATGTGGGCCTATCGTAGTAGCGATCAACGTGGAAAGTGGGCTAAACATGCCGAGTTCAAATTTCGGCTGAGGCGGTTTTCGTTCACCTTCACACAAATACTCTTGGAAAGGCATGAATCCATCGCTTCCCCTTCCCATAGATATCAGTTAAATAGGAAGACCGAGAAGTCTCTCTAGCCTTAGTTCATATCACGTTAAAACACCGGTTCTCGTACGATCAACGAAGTTAAGCAACGTGAGCCTGTTCAGTATCTAGACGGGTGACTGCTTCGGAATACCTGGTGCTGTAAGCGTGGTGAATATGCGAGTGGTGCAATGGATAGCGGCCTGAAACTTGAAATCGGAGACCCGCGTTCCAATTCCAATCGGGTTATTTTATATACAAAAAATTCGTCCAATATAAAAAAATATTTATGGCTTTAAATAACCTGTAAATGGTTGATAAGCCGTAAAAATAATCAATCAATCTCGCCTCAGTTGATAAAAAAATCTAGAAGTAAGGTAATTTTGAATTCCAAATATGTTAGATGAGGGACTGGCAACTCTAACACATAACAAACCTAAGGAGTGGGTGGTAAAGAGTCAAAAGTTACTCAAAGTAACAAAAGACAGGAAGTTGTAGAGAGCTATAATCGTCCACGTCCTGAAGGGACTGGGCACATAAAAGCAGAATACGTGAATGAATGATAGAATAGGACAAAGAGAGATGGTCGAGTGTCAAATGTTAGATTTTCAGGTTATTTAAAGCCACAAAATAGTTTTAGATTGTGAGAATGTTTTTAATGATAATAATGATTTATTGATACAAGTCCTACTAATTAACCCATAGTTGGGGGGAGGAGAGGTGAATTCATGTCTTTCCCAAAGGCATTTGAACGTAAGTGAATATAACGAACTTGACTGGAATTGGAATTCTCACCCATCTAGATACTGACCAGACTCGACGTTGCTTAATTTCAGTGATTCTAAGTGAACCGATTTTTCAACGTGGAATAGACGTAAACTATACCAGCCTCACATCCAAGCCTACAGCACCTGGTATTCGCAATCTGTTACCCATCTAGGCACTGACCAGGCTTGATGTTGCTTAACTTAAATAATCGTGCGGGAATAGATGTTTCAACGTAAAATGACCATAAGCTATAACACCTGCACATCCAAAACTACGGCACCTGATATTCCCAAACTGTTACTCATCTAGGCACTGACCAGGCTCGATGTTGCTTAACTTAAATAATCGTGCGGGAATAAATGTTTCAACGTGAAATGGCCATAAGCTATAACACCTGCACATACAAAACTACGGCACCTGATAATCGCAATCTGTTACCCATCTAGGCACTAACCAGGTTCGATGTTGCTTAACTTAAATAATCGTGCGGGAATAGGTGTTTTTAACGTGGAATGGTCATAAGCTATAACACCTGCACATCCAAGCTTACAGCACCTTCTATTCCTAAGCTGTCACCCATGCATTGCCCAGACTCGTCGTTGCTTAACTCCGGTGATTGTACGGGAACCGTTGTTTGAACGTGATATGGCTAATTAACCCATAGCTGGAGGAGAAGAGGTGAATTCATGCCTATTCCAAAGGCATTTGAGTGTAAATGAATTGGACTGGAATTGGAACTCTCACTCATTTAGGTACTGACCAGGCTCATCGTTGCTTAACTCTGATGAGCGTACGGAAACCGTTGTTTGAATGTGATATGGTTGTAAGTCTTAGATGTTAAATAAAAACATTTGAGGAGAGCCATGATCGCTCGTCTCTCTTTTGAAGGGAGACGGCACATAAAAGAAGTGGTGATTGAATGACTGAACAAGGATGGTAAATGTTAAAAGTTACTTAAAGCGACAAAAAAAAAAGAGGAAGTTGTGGAAAACAATGATCGCCCACGTCCTTAAAAGGTAACTGGTACATAAAAGAATTTCTCCTAAGTTAATTTTACGAAAGACTGAAGCGAATGGCACGATACATGAAGAGACAAACATTTTCTGGTTTTCTCCAACCTTTTTGTTTTTGTGTTGCTTTTTGGTTTACTTTAAAAGCAGTCGTTTTGATATTTTGTCTGGTAATGGCAGCTGTATTTTTAATCAAAGTAAATTCAACAAAACGCACAGTAACAGCAGCAGATAAAGCACTACAACAGGATTTCTTTACATCCTCAACTCTCTTTATTTAATGTGATATTTAAGTTGCTGAATTCTTTTAAAGTAATATAATATGTCCCTCATAGGGTGGCATTGTTTTGTTCTTTTTCCTTTTCTTCTTCTTCTTCTTCTTCTTATTATTATTATTATTATTATTATTATTAAATAAGTCCTGGGTATGACGATAAACTACATCTGGCAGCAAGGCCTCTGATCATGAGGTTTTGAGGAGCATAGAACCACCTCTTAATTGATGTTGCTCTCAGACCCACCCTCATCCGAGGTGGTAGCACCTTTTAGGGTCCCAGCTATAGGCAAATAGTTAAACCACAAACTGGGAACAAAACACTATGAATGTGTAAAAAATGTGTTTTTATAGTAAAAATACCAGCAATACATTTTTGGAAAACAAAATATTAGCAGCAATAGATTGGGCTCTCAATAAATACCGTCTTTACAAAAACATATGTCATCTGATTTAGAAAATGATTTCTTACAGAGAATATATATTTTATTCAGACGAACCTATCCTAAATGTCTTGTCGGCATTAAATAACCCATTGAGGTGTTGATATTCCGTAAAATAAAATAAAGCAACTTCGCTCACTGGGGTAGACTGTTCTAGTTCCACGTGCCATGTTTAATGGATGTCAGTTATCAGTTATCTCCTGTTAATTTCCCTCTGAAAGTTCTCCACTGCCTTAACTGGGTGGAGAACTTTCAGAGGGAAATTAGCAGGAGATAACTGATAACTGACATCCATTAAACATGGCACGTGGTACTAGAACAGTCTACCCCGGTGAGCGAAATAAAGGGTTCAGTTCAAATTTCCAACGGCGGAAACGTTGTGATAAATATGGCGACAAAGATGAGGACAATAGTCCGAATAATGTAAATAATGTACATAATACCTCATCTCAGAAATATAGACAGACTCCAAAATAAACCAAACCAAATCATTATTGAATCCAGAGCAGGTGAGGTCACTTACAACAGCTGCACATCAAAAAGCTTCCCTGTGCTTTCTGAAATTTTTCATTTGTGACAAGTGACCTGAAAAACTTTCGGGTTTTGGAGGTTTTCCGATAAAGGATACTCAAAGAGTATCAGATTTTACAAGCCCTCCGCCCTCACTCTCGTGGTCGAAAAATTCCATCTGTTTCATCCTGATTTGGTATATAAGTTTCCTTTTTGTTTCCATTTTCTTTAAAACTTCACCGTTGCTCACATGTTCGGTCTATGTTATCCTCAACATCATTCTGTAGAATTACATTTTTGTTGCGAATATATATATATATATATATATATATATATATATATATACTCATTATGAAACGCAGTCTAATAAGGGCGTACCAAGTAAGACCACAAACGTTCACTATAATTTTACTTCAGGTAGTTACATATAACTAGCCCAACGATACAATAATATATATATATATATATATATATATATATATATATATATATATATATATATATATATTTAAATTTATTTAAAATATGATTCCAAATCGCTACATAAGAGGTCTCATGTTTCAAAACAAGAGCCGAAAACTTCAATATAATCCTTTAAATTAAATTGAGTTGAAATTAAAAAGGGCTCCGTTCCATCTTCAAGCGAAATTTTTGTTGGAATAACGTATATCTGAAATTTACTTGTTTTAAAATTGAAATCAAAATCACCATGGTAACAGCTAGGGCGAATTGTCTAAAATGGGTAGGCGAGTGTAGGGTGTTAATGATGAGTAGTGGTATAGAGATACTTTCAAGGTGTCAAGTCGGGGGAAGGTGAGGGTGTCAAAAATGAAACGAAGATGTATTAAGCTTTCGTCAAGTTGGCTTGTCTATGGAGATTTATTTATTTATTTTATTTTATTTTATTATGAAAGGGAATTGTGCATATAAAAAGAAAAACTTTCGTAACGTTTGTTTTTTGACGACTTCATAAAGGGTTATCTTTTATGTAAGGTATTTAAACTACTAATTTGGGCTATGGGTTATGAAGGGTGTTATGTTGTATGCAAGTTTGTAGTTAAAAATTTCTACTATGAATCTGATGATTGGGTTATTTGTTAAACAAGTTATATAAATTTTTTTATTTCAAACCAAAAATCTGATGATGCCTACAAAAAACCGTTATCTCGTGTCTATTATTTAATAGATTATTATTATTTAGAAGTTGCACATTATTAAACTTTTATAGAAAATAGGAAGGAACTGGTTAGGTAAATAATCCAAAGTTCCTTAGTATTTTAGTTATTATTTTTAAAAAATAGTGCTCGATACTAAGCTTACTATTGATGCCCTAAAAAACAGTGGTTATAAAAATGCTAACATTAACTACAGAGACAATTGCACTGGCCATAGGAAAAAAAAACAGGAAAAGGAAAATCATTTGGTACACCCCTCCGTTCAACCAAATGGTTAATATTAAACTAGGACAAAAATTCTTAAACCTAATTGATAAACACTTCCCCACCAATAGTAAGCTTAGTAATATATTCAATAAGAACACCCTAAAATTGAGTTACAGCTGCTCTGAAAATCTTGAACGTATAATAAAAAAACACAATAAGATCTTGAACAAACCCCCATGCCTAAACAGTATTAATAAAAACCCTGCACTTAAATCAGACAATAAAAGGGAAAAATTATGTAACTGTAGAAACTTAGAAGACTGCCCATTGGAAAATAAATGCTGCATTAAATCTGTGGTATACCAATGTACTATATCATCCACTGAGAGCCCTAGCACTAATAAGATATACATTATGTCCACGAAGAATGATTTTAAAGATAGATGGAGGCAGCATAAGTGTTCTTTCAATAATATAAACAAAAGAAATCAGACTTCCCTATCTAAATATTTTTGGCACTTGAAGGAAACAAATAGGACACCTAAAGTTAAATGGAAAATTATTAACAAGGCTAGAACATGTAAAACTTGGGATGACCCATGCCCTTTGTGCCTCCATGAGAAATTGCACATAATTAAGCTTCTAAATAATAATAATAATCTATTAAACAATAGACACGAGTTAACGGTTTTTTGTAGGCATCATCAGATTTTTGGTTTGAACTATTAGCTAAAAACTAGCATACAATATAATAACTTGTTTAATCCATAGCCCACTCAT